TATTATGGTTTATAATGGCAAATGATACTTTGAATATTACATGTTAATAACTTGATTGGAATTATAACCTTGAATTGACAGTTTGATACTTTGAAAATTTTGAGCCAGCCCTACCCCCAAGGGCTGTAGGGTGGGGCTCAAAGGAGTCAGTGTGCTAAAATTTCTTCATTTTCCTTGTTAAGAATCAGAGGTGCTAGTTTCAAATCCTTTTTAGTCTGAAATCTGTATGCTAGATATTGAGTAAGGTGGTTTTATTGTTTTTTTGTCACTTTGAATAATATTTCTGTTCATGTTAAAAACAAAATCAACTCTCTGTATAAATATATCAGGTGACCGTTAAGGCCCATGGGCCTCTTGTTTGGTTTACTAAATGGCAGTGATTTGAACACAAAAATATTCACTTTGCAAATTTTATTTTACATCAATTTAATAGTACAAATGTGGATCACATAATTTTTGAAAGTTTGGACAGTTCACGACCAATTGCATAAATTAGGGGCAGTGAAAATAAGTATTGATTCTAAATCGTTATCATGGAAATATGTTTGAGAACTGACTTCATACTAATGATTTCTCAGCATTGAAATTTACTGTACATAGCAATTTTTATGCAAACTTGTTCATGGCCACTAAATGTACAGTTGTACATAAATATTATCCTATTTTTCATTATTTTGATTTTAATACGCCCACCGAAAGCGGAGCACATTATGTTATATGCTGCCTAACTCTTTATATTTTTAATTATCTTGTGATCACATCTAGTCCTCGAGATTTTGACCAGATCTTTTCAGATTTTGTGTGTGTTAAGGGAATTGTGAAGATGCCCCTATAGAAAAAGTAGGATGCTGCTTCAAAATATATGACAGTTATAAGGCCCTTTGTTATTTCATCAGTTCATTTGAAGCTTGTGACTGCAACTACACTGATCTAGGCTCAGTTTTATCCAAACCTTCACCTAAAGTACATGTACAAGGAGATGCTTCAAAGTATTTACAACAGATAAATCCTTTGGTAATCCAATGATTGAGTCAGGTATGACCAGATTTGGATTAAACATGGTCTGTTAATGGGAATATATTACACAAAAGTAAAGTCTATTTTCAATCTTCTTCAAAATCTGCATGTTATTTAGGTAATTCTTAGGTGTTATTGGTTTAAGATAAATCAAGTATGGGCAAAGGGAAGCAATAGTTTCACAATTATCATGGTTTGAAATATAAAAGGGCACTGGGAGAAAGTTTGTACAATTAAAGGTATTTCTTCACCCGTAAAAACTTTTGACAGGACATTATGGTATTAACAGTGTCTTTTTGTACAACCAGATTTTGATTTCCACAAGATAACGTGCTGGAGTAAATACCAGTATATGATTTTTATGAATCGTAGTGAGATGTTCTATACACTAGGACATAGTTAGAAGACGAGCAATCCTTTACATAATTGATTAGGACACTGAGCTGTGATTTTCAAAATCAGTTTCTTCAAGATAACATGCTAAATATTGTTTCTTTTGATGAAACTTAGTTAGCATGTACACTATACACAGGGTTTTAATTAAGAACAAACAGCAGGCCAAAATGACTGGTTCAGTTCTGATTTTGGCCTGTTCTAATCACCTTTTCCTTATATATCTGGATGTATTTTTGCAAAAGTTGGTAAGTTAAATTTGTCATTTGAATAGTATGTAAGTTGAAAGTTGAAAGAAATATGCACAGAAAGTACATCAAATATGACCGATTCTGATGAAACTTGGTCAATATACATATTATACATGTACCAAGAAAAGTTCAAAAATGTTTAAAATCTGTGAATGGCATATATTCTGCCCTTATGAATCTCTTAATTAAAGGTATTTAAGGTTATATGATGTATATATACCTTTACCAGTTAGTGAAGTAGATCATCATAAATGTTTTTCCATTCACCACATCCCAAAAATGATTCAATTTTACTGAAGTTACCAGCTTGTGTTGTTTCTCTTAGGTTTCATACATTGGCATTGTAGGGGTGTATATTGTTCTGTCCCTGCAGGGGTAATCTGGTTCAGGAAATCCAATTTAAAAGTGCCATTGCTGAATTATTTTAGTTCAAATATCAATAAACAACCTAGTTATATAGTAAATGCAGCATCCTTATACCAGTAACATGTACACATACAGTAGTTACTAATTCATTGAAATATTTTGTGATGTGATGAGCAGTACTAGTATAGCCTATAACTGCTGTAGGTCTCATCACAGCTGTAAGCTCAGTGGTGACCAGTTCTTTCTTGATGATTTTATACAGTGTGCCTACACAGTACTTTTTGCCGTCAAACTGACTTGCATTAATATAAAATGTCACATCTTGCTTCAAATTTTATTCCAATGGTTGAAGTGCAATCATATGTTGGTACATAGAAAGATAGTTTTATTACTTATCGGAAACCTTATATAAATAATTTGAAATGGTTGAGCATAACTAATATTATTAGTTACACGGATTTTTGACAGGGTATACGGGATGGTATGACCCTAAAGGGTTTCATATTTCGGCCTCAGGAAATACGAAACCCTTTAGGGTCATACCATCCCGTATACCCTGCCAAAAATCTGTGTAACGAATTTATTACCCCTTTGAGTCTTTTATAATAAAAACAAAGAAAAATAACAGGCACAGTACCTCATTTAGTTTCGTTTTATCAAATTCCTCGAGCTGTTCTTCCTGATTCTTTTCTTTTAAACACGTTCTCAGCATGTTTGCCGCCCGTCTGTTCGACTTTTGTGTGTTATGTGGCACATTTTTAGCCCTTTTGGCGAGTATTTCCTCTCAGTATGCGAAGCGAAACGTTTTGCCATTTTGTAAACAGCGAAGCAGACGAAATACGAGTTGTCTCCCGATGCCCGGCCACAAGATACAAAGACACGTGACCCGTATACCCCTTGTAAAATCACGTGATTCCACCGTATTACTGCGGAGAATCACGTGACA